TGATTTCACTTAAAATGAAAGAAAATTGAGAGAAATGAGAATAAATATATATTCTGGTGTTCACGGAACAGAAACGAGAAGTTCATACTTTTTTATATTACAGATGAGAGTTCACTTTTGCTGAAATAACTTAAAGCTTTCAAGTATGGTAAATTACTGTGGCTTTCAGATTATGCATAATTCATTGTGGCCTTTCAACCCTTTCTGAGTAAGTTCTTTCTATTTTACTAATAGTGCTGTGTGCAGTTGACCTTGCTCTAATCTTCAAGAAGAATGCTATACTTTTCTTCATAAAAATTATTGAAAACACCAGATCCATTTGTGGAAAGTGTTGGATCTCCCCTAATAACGTGATTCCTGGAGCAAATGTCTGCCTGTTGGGAATACAGTCAACGAAATAATTAAGTTTAAAGAAGGAGAATGTCTCACATCCTGTAGAAAAGTATGCGAAGGTACTTGCTACAAAGGCTTTTGAAAAATTTGTTGATGTTAAGAGTAAAATACAAAAGAAACTTCTGTTGTATTTATTTTTTGTATTTTTTTCTTCCAAGCACAGTACTATTTAAATTCAACAAGCTATTTAAGAAACTATGAGGACCTATGCCAAAACTTCTGTGCAGTTCTATCTCAGATATAATGTTCCCAAGCCTGACGTGCAAGATGACTTTACGAATCACAGGAGAAAATCACTGAGATTTAAGACAAAAGAAAAATGTTCAGAGAGAACAGTTATCTTCCCATCTCTGTTACGAAACCCTTCATTTTTTTCTTCACCTAAGCGAGAAATAAATACTTGGTCTGTTAGGCTATTAAATGCAATCTGTTTACATCAAGCCACAGACAGTCCACTATAGCTAATTCACTTTATCGATGCGACAATGCCAGCAAATTTACAGGGGAAAGAAACCTATGTTTTCACTTTCTATGTTCAAGTTAATTCATGGAAAATTCAAGCAAAGGATAAGAAGAAACTACAAACGTTGGGAATGCTTTATAAGACAGGGACATCTCACTGAATCCGGAAAATAAAGTAAATCTTTATAAATGTTTTTAATGTGTCAAAACTGTCAGCAAATCTTCCAAATTTTATAGATCAGGAACTTGTAATGAAAATTATCAATTTAAGTAATTTGAACATTACTTTTCAAATGGAAATGTTAAATTTATTATTTTCAAGTAGAAATGTTAAATTTAGTATTGAAAACATTTTAATATACTTAGCTAAACACCAACAGATAGGGGGCATGGGAGATGGCT